CTGAACTCGGCCAACCCGGCCGACGCCCAACAAAATGTACATTGTATTCAAAGAATGTACATTATTTGAGTACTGAAAGTACATTATTTTGTATAATGTACATTCAGTACATGAATTATGTACATTCAGTACATGAATAATGTACATTTAGTATAGAGTTCTACTACATAGACTCCTAAAATTCTACTCCCTCATTTATACTCCATGAGGTGGCAAATCAGGATTGGTTATTTTCTTCATGTGGGTCCACAGAAAAATGTATACATCAAAAGCATGTGAGAGAGTGTACAAGTTGAAAGTTTAAAATGGGAGTACACTAAATTAAAAGTATACTTTTTATTATGGTCGCCCATTAAAAAAGCTAAACTCGTATATACATTCAACTTTCATTGAGGTTCGAACTTACAACCTTCCAAACAAAAGCTCAACTCGGGTACCATTAGACCATATTATATTGGTGAATAATATATTTACTTTAATCCTTATACACTATATAAACATTTACCCGTAGAAGAAGGGTTAAACACACTTACCCGTAATGACTTTAAAAAATATTATTTTTTAATTTAGATAATCACAAATTAAAATATAGTAAATATTATATTCTTCGTGTATAATAACTAAAAACCGTTCATAAATAGCCCTAAATGTTAGTGCAAGAAACTGTTACTGTTAGTATGTATTATTTTATAGAGTCAATAACTTCAATGATTCTTCAAGTATTTAGGTATTACCACCAAACATACTTCAATTCGAATATAAAATAACTAGCAAATATCTTTTGAGTATCAAAAGATGACCACTTATGATTTTCTGTTAACAAAGGCGTTAAATTGACATTAAATTGAAGGGTGAACATGTCATTTCATATATAACTTTTTCCTTTTAACCTTAAGCCATATATGCCAGTAGCAAATTAATTGAAAACCTTTAAAAAAAAAAAAAAGAATAATGATCAAATAGACCATCGAACAACATACAAAATTACAATTGAACTTAAAATGACCTGTTTATTTGAAAAATGTATGTTGACGTGACGGTTACCTTATTAATTTTTTTTTTTTAAATTAATTTTAATAATTTAGAATAAGAGACAAATATGTCATTGAATTACACGCGAAACTATAATTAGGCTATCTAACTAAAAAAAAATACAATTAAATCCCTGAACAATACAAAAGCATGTAATTGAACTTAAAATGACCCGTTTACTTTGAGTTCACTGACGTGACAACTACCTTATTATTTTCTTTTTTACATTTATTTTAATAATTTTAAATAAAATAAAATTTAAAAAAAAAAAAATGCAACCCCTTTCACGCCTTCATCTTCACCGAAGACGAAGAACATGTCTTCATCTCCGGTTGGAGACAAAGATAAGGTCTTAATCTTCGGTAGAGATGAAGGCCGGGAGGGGGTTTGATTTTTTATTTTATTTAAAATTATTAAAATAAATTTTAAAAATTAATCTTTTAGCTAGTAAGGTAAATGCCACACTAGTAAAGACCGGATAAAGATCTCATTTTAGGTCCAATTACAGTTTTGTGTGTAGTTTGATGGCCTATTTGACTCTAGCTTGTTCCTTTTTTCAAAATTTTGCAATTAGTTTGCTACTTGCATATATGTCTTAGGGTTAGAAGGGGGAAGATGTGTATGAATGCCATGCTTACTCTTCAATTTAACGCATTTGCTAACGAAAAATTATAGGTGGTCATTTTTTGATACTTGGATAACGTTTAATGGTCATTTTATACCTAGAGGACGTTTGGTAGTAATACTCAAATACACGAATGACTATTAAAGGTATTAACTCTTTATATAGTAAAGTTGATTTAGAAAGGCCTTTGCATCATGTATTCATTGGTCAACTTTTTTTTAAAAAAAAAAAATTCTTAAAAAAATTCAAAACGAAAATAATATATGAACTAATCATTATCTCAGATTCTCAGCTAATACTTTATAATAATTCTTAAAAAACTATATATTAACCCAACTAATGTTTTATTTACAAAAAAAAAATGTTGTTATTAAATTGAATATTTTATCTAAACTAATCATTATCTCATCTAATATTTTTTAAAATAGTAATCATAATAAAATTTAAATTAATTATACAATAGCATTACAATTATATTTCTATGGTTGATTGTTAGGGATTTTAATAGTATCCCTGGCCATTTAATATATAGGTATAAGTTCCATTAGCATTTTAAACTGGAAAAAAAAAATTCTTCAATTAAATGATAATATAATAATATGAAATATTTGAACTTACGTAGAAATGAATTAAAATTTCATAATGATAATGATAAGTGTATATTGATTATATTCATAATTCAAAATTTTATTAAAGCTAAATCTTTTCAAATAACGACAAATAGTCTCATGTAATAGTTGCCTATTCAAACTTCTCAAAAGTCATTCATATTTTTATCCTAAATATAATAAGATCTAAATAAATTGTAATAATTTATCAGGACTATGCGTTCTAATGGTACCCGGGTTGGACTTCCATTTGGAAGGTTGCGAGTTCAAGCCTCAGTTGAGGCATTATTGGTTCTTTGTGTTTCAGTAGGAGGTAAAAGTAATTCTTATAAAGTATATGAACAGATACTACAATGTAGGACAATTCTCCCCTCACCCCATTCGATGGAGTTATGATTATTTTTCTTTTTGTTTTCCATTACGAAAATGAAATTAATGAAAGTTTATACCAATTAATAGTAAGATGCTTAATTATTATTTTGATGTGTAAACATTTTAATATGTTTGAATTAACTTAATTTACAAATAATTCATTTATCCAAAAAAATATATATACTTTTAACAGATCAGATAGGGGATTAGTATTTTTAATTATATTTTGACTAAATATACGAATAATTCAATCAATCAACATCACCATATATAATATGTTTCAATTCTTATATTTAAAAAATAATTATTATAAAATATATTTTTTCTTAGCAATTAAAAAAAACTTCAGGCATCGCCGGTCAAAGCACATATAAAGTCTCTGTGCTATAGTGTTTTGTTCAATTTAGTCCTTGTACATTTATTCTATTCAATTTAGTCCCTTTACTTAAAAAGTGATGAAACTAAGAATAATTGTCCAAATCTCATTTGGAACATGGTTGTAATTATTTATTTTGGACATATTAATTTAATATATTGGTGGTAAAAATAATTATTTTTTTAAATATTTATAAAGTAATATATGAGTAGGAATATAAATATCTTCACCGCCACGTAACCTGAGTTAACGATAATATTAACATCGTTAACTATTGTCCTCAATTGCACCACTTTTGAAAGTACAGAGACTAAATTGAACAAAATAAAGGTATAAGGATTAAATTGAACAAAACATTATACTACAGGGACCTCATAGGTACTTTAACTAGCATCGCCCTGACATACACTATCAAGTCTATGTTTTAATTTCATAAACATTTTAATACTTTACATATATGTTTAAATTAATTCAGATAAAATGATTAAGTCTAAAGTAAATGATACTTACTTATTTATCCATTGGATGACCAAATTGTCACAATCAATTACAAAGTTAAGGGTATATTTTGTAACTTTTAATAATATGGTTTGTTGGTTTTGTGACCACCAAAGCAGTCAGGCGGCGTGTCAACATTACTGAAAAAGTACTAAAAATTTGCCGGAAAAAGGCTTTGCCTGCTCTCAAAATACTCGTGTATGCTCGAATTGATTAACCCTTTTTACAGAACTTTCTTAGGTTTTTATATACGCTAGGAAGACTGCAACGTTCAGCGCCTATCATTAATGTCATAAATGCCTTTAATCATGAGAAGTTATGTCGGTTTCTTGCTTTCTTCGCGACGAACCGTCTCCCACAACGACCGATCTCATCATTACTATTAACTCCACACTGATTGTCGATCTCATTATTGCCCTCTCGCCGAGTTCTCAAATTACTCTTTCCTATTATCCCTTCCAAGTAACTTCTTCCGTCACTCGGTTGGTCTTCCTTAAGCATTGCTAGGCTGGTTAATGCATCCGCTATGCTCTTCTAGTTAGCTGACCTCTCCAATCGCTCTACCCTTCCATCCAACTGACCTCTCCACTCCTTCTGCCCGACCTTCTATTCGATTGACCCCTCCAGCAATTCTACCCTTCTATTCGACTAACCTCTCCAACAGCTCTGACCTTCTACATATATACTCGACTGACCTCTCTAGTCGTTCTGCCCTTCTATCCGACTACCTCACTACCTGAGTCGTTCAACTCCTTCAAGTAGATTAGTTAACACTATCATTCGGCACTCGTCCGGGTGTCTCTTATGTACTTCTAGTCGAGTAGTGATATGGTTGGCCCTTCTACCGTCTTGGTTGTCTTCCCTTTACAATGCTCCGATCAGTTCCTTCGTCCAACATCTTCATTATGCCGCCCCCCAACGTCAACCTTCCGAGCTCGGGTTCGTATTCCATCATGGTTCAAAACGGTTAGTCGCAAATATTTGAAGGATCAAACATGTTATTTTTTTCTCTTAATAATTAATAAATTTAAAAATTGAGACACTTAATACATATAGTTTGGATGATTTAGTAAAATATTTAACAACAAGCGGGTCTAAATTAGTATGGGAGAAGAAAATTCCAATTATTGTGCTAACCATAAATAACCTTCCTTAATTTAAGCGAAGTTAAGTAGTTAACCCCTAAACGGGCAACGGGCAGGCTGCCCGAATCGCAACTCATCCCGTCATTCATAGATTATAGATACATATAAACCCTACTCACCGTCCCCCACTGCCCACTACTCGCATCAAACGAAACGAATCCCACTATCTTTTTCACCTTCTTTTTTCATGCTTCTTCTTCTTCTTCTTCTATATAACCCAACAAGAAGAAGCAGCTTTGCTTTTCCTAGTCTTCTAATCTTTTCTAGAACTGGGGATGACTGTACAGTAGTGAATCCACACAACTAAAGCTTTCTGTTTTCTGTCTCTTTCCTCCCCCTCCAAAATGGGTCCTTCTTGTAGACGACGAAGAAAGCCCAAAGCAGGGTCAAGAAAATCCACGGCGTTTAAATCTTCGCCGCCGTCCAAGGCGGCGGCCTCTCAGGATTCGGTGAAGAAGAACGGCGGCGGCGATCATGAAGGGGACATAGGAGCGGCGGATGACGTGTGCTCGACGCCGAAAGCGGAGAGGTTTCGGATTCCGGCGATGGAGACGTGCCCTCCGGCGCCGAAGAAGAGGAGGGTGATGACGACGAATTGGTCGTCGCCGTCGTTGCGGAGGAGTAGTAGTAGTAGTACTCCGCCCCCCATCGCGTTCTTTGCTCCGCCGGATATTGAGCTCTTCTTTTACTTTGCGCTTCGCGGCGGCGTTTCAGTTTGAATTCAATGCTAAGTACTACTCCAAAGAAAGAAAAGCAGTACTCATGTTAATTAGCTTTAATGGAATAACAATCTTTTTCTTTTTGATCATCACTTTGTTTGATCCTTGACTAGTTGTGTGAGAATGAGCTTTTGATGATGATTATTGAGTGAGAATAGAATAGAATTGAAGCAAGTTTTAGCTGCTACCCCTTTTTTCCTTGTGCTAATTTGTTTGTTTAGATTATTTGTTTCTCTTTCTTGCTTGTTTAATTTGTGTGTAGGAGATACTAAGGGCATTTTAAATATCTTAATGTAGTGCTGACTTTTGGGTGTCTTGGTTCTTGAAGAGTGCAGTATCCATTGGGTATATTTGGTTTTGTGTGCCTAATTTTATCTTCATTTTGGACTTACCAACTCTAATTAGCAGTTGCCATCTAGCTCTACGATTGTCCTGTATAATCTAATAAAATAATCCATTAAACAGAACGATAATCCGTTAAACTGTTAAACCGTTAAACAGAATGCCGCGCTTTGATGGTAGGATGCTGGGGCATCATAATCATCTTGATTGACACTTAAAATTTTTCAGTAATATTTGGCTTTGAGTTAGTAGTTTAAAATAAAACTTTAGGTAAAAGGTAATGTTAAATATACTCCAAATTAATGAAGTTATTCAATCATAGAAATACATACATCTCTGTTGTTCTTTGACCATGTTAAAAGGCTTCCTGAAAGGGGTTTCTCCCCATATTCCATTTCAAGAAAAATATAGTTTTAGGTGAGAGAGATGAGATTTGATTGAAAGATAAATCTATGTTATATATCTATTTTTACCCAGGAAGATAGATATACTTGGGAAAATATGAAGCACACATTTTTTCTAAACATTATATTTACAGTGGTTAAAAAATTGTTACGGAACTCGATTATCACTGGGACAACAGGTGAACAAGTACTAGATAATCAAAAAGCTATGAGATGAAAGTAAGTACTTCACTTTCACTCCGATGATGTTTGTTTAGGGGGGAAGTATACATAGGAGAGGGGTGAGTCTGAGTGTCTGACCATATAGTATAGCTTTGTTTGTTGTTGTTTTTAATATTGAAAGGTGAGATGATTGTGTCAGATTGTGTGTCTGACCATACCCAACATTATTTAGGGGAATCCAATGAAAGGGCTCGTGCGGCTTGCGATCATTACTATTGTATGTGAGAATCTTTCTATACATTTCAATCATTTTTATCTTTATTTTTCTAGCCTAGCCTATTCTTCTTTAATATATTTTTGATTTTTCAATCACCTGCATGTACTTAGTAACTTCTTAATTCTGGAAAAATGATTATGAACCCAAGCTGTTGGATGCTTATTTGATTCATCATATCAATTCATCTTTCATGATGATTGAAGATATATAATACATGAGTGCACATGAATATATAAATACCAAATAATTGTTCATGATAGTTTCTTGAATGGTCAAGTTATACTCGGGGCAACTTTAATTTCAGCCAAATTGATCAGACAATTGATTTAGCTTGAAAAACACAAGGTTTTGGCTTCACCTTGTTGTGCCGTCAGGGACGGAGCCAGAAATTCGATGGGGGGGGGGGGGGGAAACAGTACAGACGAATTCAGAAAATTTTTCCAGTAAAGGCGAAACATTAAAACAAAAGAGATAATTTAAAAATAAATAAATAAATTACCTAAGAAATATAGTTGTAAATATTGTTAGATATGGACGAAAAATAAAACACATTGAAACTTTATAAAAATATTCATAACAAAATATGAAACATAATTAATAAAATAATTTAAATAGAAAACACATTATAAATTACACATCTTATTATTAATATAAAAGAACGTTTTATATATATATGTGTGTGTGTGTGTGTGTGTGTGTGTGTGTGTGTGTGTATGTGTGTGTGTGTGTGTGTTAAATATTAAAAAAGGATTGTAAAACTATGTTGAGGCCAAGATTAAAACACTTGACCTCATTATTATATTACCAAATATGTGTTCTACCACCTAATCTAACTCACTTTTTGTAAACATTATATAGTTTTTTTAATACTAATACTAAAACATGTACTATATATACATATACAAAGACTATATATGGGGTGGGGGTGGGGCGAAGGGGGGGCAGCCACCCCCCTGCCCCCCTTTGGCTCCGTCCCTGTGTACCGTGGAAGTTGTTTATTGACTTTAATTTCTTGGTTTGAGCATGTCAAGTATGGACAACCTAGACTGATTTACCTCTTTGTACAGAGTCATTACGCTTAATGTACAAAATTGCATAACATGATGTACAGAAATCCATAACACGAGATACATGCACATATTTTCTATTTTACTACGAGATACATACACATATAAATTCATAAAATAAAACATACAATATGTAAATAACCGATCGTTATACGTTGGACCATGTTCCACATAGCTGTATGGATCATGATTCAATACTATGCATTTTTTTTTAATTAAAAGAAATGGTTGTTGCATGTTATTGTGAACCAATGTCATATCACGTTATAGAATATATTTATATTGTCAAATAAACCGGTAATAGAATTAAAATGATACTTTAGTGTTACTATAATGAACCTATTGTGTATATAAAATGAAACTGAATAGCAGAGCTTATACATATTTGTATCAGTGTTAAAGTGAGCCAAAGCCTGCGAGCCAACCCTAAACCGACATGCGGCGGGGCAGGTTAGGACCTACAATTTTTAACCTGAAAAAATGCGGATTAGTCTGTGCGGGCCGCGAGCCAACCATATTATGTGTGTGTGTGTGTGTGTGATCTTATGAGAAGCACCCTCCCATGAGTAACTAGTATGGTGCATTAAAAAATAGATCTATGAATCAGATTAATTGGAGGAAATCAACATTTGTGTGTGCATATGGATAATGTGATGTGTGCATATTAAGCATGTGTTGTGTCCAAACATAAGATATGCACACAGAACATGCTCAATATGCACACATAAATATCGAATTCCCTCAACTAATCTCATCCATAGATTTATTTTTAATGCACCATATTGGTTATCATATACTCATGGAGATGGTGGTTCTCATGTGATCACTAATATATATAGGCTAATGTTCAAGTGCATCCACATGTTCCCATGAGTTCCGTAAGATCCTTCGTAAATGCACAAACGCTACTACACGAATGCACACATGATAAATTGTGTGCATTCATGCTGGGCGAATTGCACACAATCTAGTCTCTGTGCATTCATGTAATAACTTTTGTGCACTTATGAAGGGTTTCACGGGACTCACAGGAAGATTTGGTATCACTTGATTATTACTGTGTGCGTGTGTATAATATGTTTTTCTATTCTTGAAGTTGGCCTGCGGGCTAGCCCGTGGGCTTCCCGGGCTTGCCGACAAAAATTAAAACTCATGATGGGGTGGCCCATCCCGCTTTGACAGGCAAATTATATTATGTTGTGCAATCGTGTGCACGTTATAAAAACGACGTCGTTTTACTTTTAAAAAAATCATTTTCGATTGTCGTTAGTTACGTAAACATATGTTCATAATTTTATAATTTCAAATTCTGAATGTATAGTTATGAAGTTATGGATGTGTAATTATGCATACAATTCTGAATGTATAGTTTTAAAGTTATGGATGTGTAGTTATGCATACAATTCTGAATGTATAGTTATGAAGTTATGGATGTATAGTTCAAATTATGCACAAGTGCACAACATAACGCCGTTAACGGCAATCGAAACTGATTTTTTATTTATTTATTTAAGTTGGACGTCAAAACGACGTCGTTTTTGCGTGCACACGGTTGCACAGCATAACGTTCCGCTTTGACACCTCTACATATATGTATATGTTTAAATGAACATGTAATAGAATTAAAATAATATTTTAGTGCTGCTATAATGAACTTATAATATGTAAAAAAGCTCATAAAAATATGTATATTTTCAAACGAACTTGTAGTGAAATTTAAATGATACTTTAGTATTGCTATAATGAATCTATTCTATGTATAAAATGAAATTGTATAACAAAGCTCATACAAATATGTTTATTGCCAAATGAACATGAAATGTAATTAAAATGACATCTTAAAATTACTATAATGAAATTAATGTGTGTGGAAAATGGCAACGAAGGTGAACACATTTGGTTTTTTAATTATCTTTTGCGCTAGTCGTTGGTATGTTCCTACTTATGGAGCAAATAAATCTCATTTAAGTCGTACTCAAAAACAAATCTCATTTAAGTCAATATTATTTCTTCTTTCTCCATCATTATCATTCAACCAATAGTAGAGCACACAAATTTCTTTCCTTCACCTGAAATAGAAATTTATTTGCACTATAAGTGAAAGGGCCATATTTACATGCAATTGAAGAAATGATTGTCAGAATCAAGTGATTATTATTACATAATGTATTTTATTTACTATTACTATTACCCACTAGGTCACCCTTTTTAGAATTATTATAAATTAGTGGAGTTTATTCAATGCACACCCTCAGTTAGTGACGATAAGTATCTCTTATCACCCAAAATAAATAATAACTATTTGTATCTACTCCAAATATAACTAATAATTGTTGAGTGCTAAAATTTAACCAATAACGATTTTGGAGTAAATAAACAATAAAATGACATTTACATCTATAATGGTAAAATATAAAATATTATTTTTATTATTAATTAATCAAATGATTGTTAACTACTTTTTAAATTTTGAATTAATATTATTAATATCAATTTTGATTATTAAATAAGGGAGTGACACAAGCATTATTATCAAAATATCAATCTATATTAACAGGTATAGAAAAGGTGGGTTATATATTTTATTGTAATGGTATCGCTCACGGTTCACCTAATACAATACAATCAACATTCATATAACCTTGACAGTTGACATATAGATTTCCTTCTGAATATGGTTGAGTCTCACCTAACCACATTTATTATAAATCATTCATATTTAATTTGTCAGAGGATAAGGTTTACATG